ACCATTCTAAAAGCCTGTATCACAAAAATTTAAAAAAACGCCTAGGGGTATTTGCCCACTGTACCTCCATACCAAATTTCAGGACCTTAGGCCCTAAAATGAAGAAGCTGAATCCATTTAAAAAATGGCAGGAGAAGGAGAAGGAGGAGAAGAAACATCAGAAAAAGCAATATGGGTTCACCACCACTTCGTGGTGTGGTGAACCCATAATGAAATTATCACAGACGGACACCTACATTCCCATTTCAGCAACCTCTATGGTGAGGATTCCGCAACAAACAAGCAAGCCGAAACCACCTAATAGTTTCGAAATGCAAGTAGAAAGTGAACTAGTAGGGTATAAGTTTACCTGAAACAACAGTTCATCACTTTTTCGACCCTAAAAATCACTATTATGTACATTTCAATGAGAACAAGCCATATAAGAATTCAACTGTGTGTAAAAGAACTTGTCAATATTGCATATCAAACAAGGTGAAAGACGAAACACATTTTATTTCAAACTGCCCCTTCTACGACCTCGAAGGAAAGGACCTGTTTGAAGAGGTCAGCAAATTCCATCCTAAGTTCTCCACGTTAACAGACGAAAAGAAAACTACTCTCCTCGTAACATCACAAAACCCACACATTATAAAAAAAGTAAGATCTTACGTCTTCCACTGTTTCGGTAAAAAGTAGAACCCAATAAGTTAGAAAATTAATCCCCCTGCTGTCCGTCTTTTTTTCACGTTACATGTACTTGCAATTAACCTATGGGCAAGAACTTGCAATATACTTTCAATTAAAGGCAGGAATTACAGAGGCATATAATTCCAAAATTAATTTTTGTTTTTAGCCAGCCAGGGTGGCTTATAAAGTATATACTATCACCTGGCTGCTTTCAAGTTAGGCCCCTGTCCAAATTTTCAACTTATTCCCCCCTCCCTTTCTAACACTTCATCAGACAATGGCATAGGTATAATTATGCAATACCTAAGTACATCAACATGAAAATAAATCGATGACCGAGAACTAACAAAACACAAACTCACGGTTTGCTTTTCGGGTGAGATACCAATACAAATGTATCCGACTCCTTTTTCCAACATCATAAGCCAAAATCAGGAATATACAATACTTAAGTTCTTATCAGTATAGCAATGAATCCATGAATAAAAGGTAACAACAACGACAAAAATTCCAGCAAAATTCACCGTGCCTTGAGATGCTTGCCAGTGTACCAACTTGGTGTCCACTTGGCGTCCACTTGGCTTTCAAGTGCGTATGTATCCAGCATAGCATATGATATTATACCATGGACATGGATACTTCACTAGCAAAACAAAAGTTAATGGTCTCCAAGGTAATTCACAATGGGAAAAGCAATCTGATTATCACGGACTTTGTTACTTTCCTATTATGCTTGACAACGCTAATGCACAGCGGTGTCCATCGCAAATGAAAGGAAATTAGTGCGAGGAACAGCAACAAAACATCACTTTTTAACGGACCCACGGTGATTAGGAAATGACACTGAATCTGTACTTGGTGCATCAAAAGCTGTAATTAGAATGAATGAATGAATGAATGAAGACCTTTATTGTACGCAAATACCCACTGGGTTCAGTACAGGTCACAGGAAAGACGTCACAGTTTGCAATGAATATATACAATGTACAAGCTAGTGCTAATTCTATGTACTATGGACATATAGTCTAATACACCGGATGAAATCCCTAGTTTCCGTGTGAGAAATTGTCGCACACTTTCCCGGATATTTTAGGTTTCCGGTAGAACCCGGGGGTTTCCAACCTGCACACGTATAGTGTCCAGTCCCGTACATGTCCTGGAAATTCAAGGAAATGAACCAATTTTTGTGTGCAGGCCGTGTACAGGACGTTAAATGCCTGGACACGTCGCCTTTAAATCCCTGTAAACGGCAGGAAATGTCCGTGCACCGCTCCGTGTGTTGCTGGAATATGCATAATTTAGCAGCAATTATCACCTAATTATCCTCAACACGGCAACGGAATCGCCGTGTACGGGTGGGACATGCCGGTACTACCGCTCCGTGCGTTGCTGGAATATGCATAATTTAGCGGCAATTATCACCTAATTATCCTCAACACAGCAGCGGAAATTCGCCGTGTACGGGTCGGACATGCCGGTACTATACCCCCCCCCGAACGCCTCACACCTAGCTCTCGGGGCCGGTTGCCCCCGCTCCCGTACGCCCCGCTACCGTTCCCCCTGCTCGAGCTCTCGGGGCCGGTTGCCCCCGCTCCCGTACGCCCCGCTACCGTTCCCCCTGCTCTCGGGACCCCGTTACCGCCTTTATACCCTACATATATTTTGATATTACAGGAACACATTTCTTTCAAAAAGGAAGGCAATATGCTTGATTCATCGTTGAAAAATTTATTCGTATCAACAGAACCATTTCTCCGTGGCTGCAGGAGCTCTTCCCCGCCCGATCAAGCTAGGTTTCTCTGGTATGTTTTTCACAACGGGAGATGATGCTGTTTTTCTCCCGTCGTGAAAAATCTACCGGGTAACCTAGCTGAGTCGAGCGGGGAAGAGCTTCTGCAGCCCCGAAGCCCATCCAACAACGATAGACTGGACACCAGACTAAAGAATTTACAGGAAGTGCCCTCAAATGATGCAACATAAACAAAGACTTTAAAAACAAGTAAATCCTAACATTGCTAGTAGTTGAAAGAGAAAATAAACAACGCTTACAAGTTACATAAACAATGCATTGAAAACTACTGTAATTCCATTTAATATTGCGTTTGGAAATTATAGCGTTGGGAGGAAAATGGACTAGCTCACGGCACTTAATTTTAGCGGTGTGGACAAGGCAGATGATCAAAAGTGTTCAAATACAATGTATTACGGTACTGAAATTTTAGCGGTACAAAACTAACAGCTAAATCAGCTATAATTAAGTGACAGTTAACAAATCAAGAATTACGGTACATAAAAGTCACAAAAGTCAAAAGTCCGGTCATTTACAAGGGCGTAAGTGAAATATTCTCCGAGTCTGAAATGTCCTCTCCCTCAACAAACGAGGGTTGGTTGTAGCCCTCAAGGGCGCGCGGGGACATGGTGTCGTCTGTGTCGTTGAAGCTTAAACTCCGCCCGGCTGGTGGCCTGTGGGGTGGGGTGTTGGTGACGGTGTTCGTAATGGTGGCGAGGCCGGGGCGGCGTGCCGGGCGGGGGAGGTGTCCTGGCCGGAAGTGCAGCGGGGCCAGGTCGGGGTCGTAGCTCTCAGGGGCTGCCTGTCGCTCACGGCGGCCTCCTCTCTTATCCTTGGCTTGCGGCCGTCGCTGTGTTTGCCGCCTGTATCCAGTCGGGTCTGCAGGACGCCGCAGAGTTGGGATAGCTGTGTGCTTCTGAACGCTGGCGGCTTCATTAACCACACAGCTATCCCGTTTGAAACGGCGTCCTCCTCGTCCGACATGAGGTCCACCGTCACTCCAGTCCACAGCCTTCTTTCGTCTTCTGTTTGGAGTGCGGTGCCTCTTGCGTCCATCAGCTGGTTCAAAACATAGATAAACGGAATAGTCAGTAAAGATGAAGTCATTTTTATTTCAACTAAATTTACCAGTAGTTTTGCCAAGGATCTTTGAAATAATCTTATTTTAAAGGTCCTTGGTTTTACAGAGTGTGAAAAAAGTCAGACAACAGCAACAATTTTGTCCAAATGAAAAAGTCTCAGATTATAAAGTCAACCGTCAACGTCCACTTGTTTGTGTTTCTATTGTAATAAATTTTAGATTTTACATGAGAACAATCCAAACACAACATTTCCTCGCTTATGAAAACAAATTAAAGTTGTCGAGCGCTTGGTCTTTTGTATGCAAAAAATACATTTGCATAGACTCACCCTTTGTCTGCGTGACCGCTGCTTCTTGTCCTTCTTCTGTTTCAACGCCTTTTCTTTGTTCTCAGGGAGGCTGTTCACAAACTTCCTTCGAATGGTCTCGTAGTATCCCACACAGGCGTCTGAAAAAAGGAATATATGTACTTAGCAACACGCAAACTGTGTATATAGCTGTATTGATCCACTTCTTATAATCTAAGTATCAATACTAAGTCTAAAGCGATTTGAACAAGTACATATATCACATACATCAATTATATCAAATATAT